TTCCACTTCACCACAGCTCAACCTCCTGTCTCCATTAATCCCAGAGCCATAAGGCCCCTGACTACTGCTTTTGTCCAGAGGATTAAGAGAGTGAGTGGGCTGGAATTAGCAACAAGTCAATTTTCCTTTGAATTGCCAGGGCTGGACTACCACCCACGTTGTTGTTTCTTCCCGTTTTCTGAGCATCACAAAATGTAATATTCATGTGTCAAGGGACCCAGGATTGTATTTTAACGTTTTATGGCCTCTTTGTAAAGCTACCTTTTCAATTTTAGAGGAGGCAGTTTTATGACTCCCTTTGATAACCACTTAACTATTAAGACCCAAACAAAGAAGAGGAACGTCAAAGGATATCAGGTACTTCCAGCCAGCTAGAGTCTCACTTCTTGAACATTATTCAAATTAGCTCCAGGACTCATAATTCTGTGTTTTCATTTATTGCTGCAGTAAAGTAAATGGTTCTTTTATCCAAATGTTATTTCCTGGCTATTAATTCAGTAGTTATTTTGGATTGTGGCACTCCTCTTTGATTTAGAGATATGACATCTTATAAATATTTAAAAGTTGAAGACTGACACTTGGAGAAATTGACTTTGATTTGCTTTGTTAATATCCTATGGCTAGAGTAATTATGGGTTTGGAAGATGCGATCTCATTTTCTGTTTACCGGAAGCAATGGGGAGCACGTGCCTCTATAACAAGGAATTTGTCAATGGAAAGTTGTTCCAAATCTTTTGCAGACCAGATCTCTATGCTTATCTGCTCAGGATGCATACTGCCTGTTACTCTTCATAGTGTTCACCAGACCCTGCTCTTGAACCCAGCAACATGGGGATGAAAACTACCCAGGCTTCTCAAAATAGCTGAAAATGATCATTCCTGAAAGGCTTGGAACTTTCATCTACAAGTGCCAGCAAGGGTTTATGGCAGGGCTCAGGGTGATCTACAGACTGGTGTGATTTAAACATGGATCAATCAACCTATTAGGGGAAAAAAAGACCAGGTCAGTAAGGATGGGTCTTGGTGAACCAGAGGTCATTTTACATTTTCAACCTAATGTTCTTATTTCCTTTCCATTAACATTTCATAATGAAAAAATTCCCATATTCTTTAATTTTTAAGATAATTAAGTGAATTTAGTGCCTTTGAAGGGTAGAGGATTTACAATGGCATCAGAGAATATTAATAATCTACGAAGACAGGAGCCACCTGGAGCAGAACAGTGCTGCCTGCATCACCATTTCTGCTTCTTTGGTGACAAACTGTAACAAGTTTCAGCCTCCTTTGCCAATTCAGAACTAAACTTCTCTCCTGATACCAGAAAGATTTGTGTCTTTTGGGACAGGGCCTCTATCTCTTAAAAAGTGTTTTGTTTTGTTTTGTTTTCCGCTAGCATTTGATTCTGAATTGGAACAAATTACAGCAAGCTCAGATCTTTCTGAGTCCTTGGTATTCTCTGTTTACAAACCCTCAAACACGTGACAGGAGTAAAGAATTGCTCCGAAGCTTCCCTAAGGAAAAGAAAATGGTGTCTGCCTCTAAGATTGTTACAGCCTAATAAGTGAGTGCAGTGGCAGAAGTGAATCCACAGGGACACAGAATAAGAGAAAGAGAGCCACATGGTTGCAGCCAGGCCTGTGCACATAGAAGCAAAGGGCCTATAGACCAATCTGAGTTCTCCAAGCTGACCATTCAAGGTATCACTTAATAAAGATAACTTCATTGATTTTTGGATAAAGATGATAGATTAAATACATTCATTTTCTTTTGTTCTCTCCCCAGGCCCTATTAAAACAAAAATAAAGGAGTTTTTTAAGGCATAAATTCCCAAGCCAAAGAAATTGGGAAGGGACTTAATGGGGACAAAATTTTGGACACTAGAAAACAGATGGATGAACAGGAAGTAATTAGTAAACTCAAGGCAGCCAAAATAACCTAGCAATGGGAAAAGCTGAGAGGCAAGCCGATTTATACCACAGACTCCTCCCAACAAATAGCTCAGGAATTGACTAATTAAGTACCTTTGGAAGTGCTAATGAAGATGGGATTATAAACAGGAAAACAGAGCGTCTAAGAAGAAGTTAGAGCCCCAGCTCCTTTGTACTACTCCTCCACTCCTTGTCCTCTGGAGAGAGTATAATTGCAGGTGTTTGGGTTAGGGAGCATGAGGGTGGGACTGAATGAACAGGAGACCAGCACTGAGACGCCTCGTCCAACCTGCTTTCCCACTAGGTTCCAGTCAGAAGATTCTTCTCTGGGGATTCGGAGTAGCTAAAGAGCAAAGATACAAAGAGTTGACATTTGGTGGCATCCCCAAGGAAACAGGTCAGACAGATTCCACCTACAGAGAAGTCCCCAGAAACTCCAATAGAAACTTTTAGAGCTCCACTTTTACACAGGAGTGGAAAACTAAAGATTACAAGGCCACTAAGGAAAACTTCTAGTATTTCTAAAGCCTCTAATGTTTTAAAATTATTGAAAGTTGCCTGATGAAGAAAGAGACTAAACCATTGATTGACGACGAATGGAACAAAAATGTGGTATATGCTTGCAATGGAATATTATTCAGCTTTAAAAAAGAAAGAAAACCTGTCCTATGCTTTAACGTGGATGAACTTTGAGGACACTATGCTAAGACAAATAAGCCAATCACAAAAAAGACAAATATTGCATGATTCTACTTGTGTGACGTAAAGTAACCAAACTCATAGAAACAGAAAGTAGAATGGTGGTTGCCAAAAGTGGGAGGAGGAGAAAATTGGGAGGTGTTTAATAGGTATGGAGTTTCAGCCAAAAAAGTTCTAGAGATGTGTTGTATGACAATTTGCATATAGTTAACAATATTATACTGTACACTTAAAGTTGTCCAGAGAGTAAATTTTGTGTGTCCATGTTTTTTACCACAATAAAAAAGGAGAGATAGTAAAACAAAGTACAGAGAATGAAACAAATTATGAGAAGAAAATGACAAATAGAATTGTCATTCACATCCTCAGGAGGTAAGAGAACATATTGTATCCGTGAAATAAAATTAAGATGCCATTAAAAAAAAATAAAAAGGAACATCCAGACGACAAAAGAAGAGCTCTTAGGATGAAAACCAGGGTATTAAAATCTCAAGAGTAAGAAGATCCTAGAAAACAGAGCAAAAAAGAAATGAAAAATATGAGAAATGAAAAAAGAAAATGAAAACTAAAAGAAAAGAGAAATGAAAAGAAAGAAAGAAAAACCAGTCCAAAGGTCAAGTTAAGGGAATTCCAGAAAAATAAAAGAAAGGAAGAAGTCTTTAAAGAGCCTGTTTTCTTCTAGAATTAAAAGACACAATTTGCCAATTAAGAAAAGGGCTAACAAAGTGCCTAGGAAATGAATGAAAACAAACTAACGCCAAGGCACATTTGCATGACGTTTCAGAACTCTTGAAGCAAAAAGATTCTACAAAAATTGCGTGGGAGAGGGAGTTATTTTCCAAGTATAATAACCCGGAATAGCTTCTGACATCTCAAAAGTAACATTTAAAGCTCAAAAAGCAACGCCTTTAACATTCTAATGGAATGATTTCCAACCTAGAAATCTTACCTAGACAAACTATTAATGAAATGTGACAGTAATACAAAAACATTTCAGACTGCCCAACCTCACAAATCTACCCACAACTTTTCTTGGGAATCTATTAGAGGATGTGTCTCACCAAAATGAAAGGAGAAACCAAGAAAGAGAAAGATGTGGGCCAGAGAAACGAGAGCGAGAGAAAAAGGCATCCCCACAATTATGGCGAAGGAATATCCTAGGATGAAAACTACACATCAGACATAGAAGTTAGTTGGTCTAAACTGGAGAAATGCTGGAAGTACCTGGAGTGATTTATTCATGAAACTGATGGAATGCCCAAAAGCATATGAACATTTTGAGAGGAGACTTAGACAACTGGTAGAGAGCTTAGGGGTTGAATTATTTACAAATACATAGAGAACTAAGCTCCACCTATGGAGGAGCACAGAGTTGGGAAGGAAGGATTAATTATGTGGTTTCTGGAATGCTTAAAGCAGCAAGAGTTGGATTTAATCTCTTAGCCAAAGTAAGTAGTTCCAGGGCATAAATTACTGCCAGGGTAATTTAAACCCAGTGAATAGACTAGGAGTATGAATACAGAATGGTCTCTGATAACCTGAAAATATAAAAGTGACTCCCTTACGAAGAGCGATCCAAAGAATATGGTAAACCCAATGAAATCAGCATACGAATGATTTCCAAAGATTTTTTTTTTTTTCTCATTTTTAGGCTCGTTGGTGGGGCAGTTGATTGACAGTTGCCTAACAGAAGTGTTTTGAAAACCCTGAATATGTATGACCAGTATTGTAATTATGTTGTGACGTTTATATAGAATGAAGCTAAATAAGATAGCAAAATTGATCTCTTCAGTGAAACATATGCTTATGCTAAACCTCCAGATATCTCTATTTTATTAAGACAACTTATTTCCCACCAGAGATGTGCTGTCTGATCCTTTCGATCCTTCTGAATATACAGAACACGTGTGTAACAAAGAACATGTGTAAGCAACAGGATATAAGGATATAAGAAACAAGGCAAAGTGGTATATTCCCATCTCCTCCTGAATAGCATCAATTAAAATTCACAGCTGCTGGCTGCCCAGATGTTTCTTGCATTTAGTGCTCTGTAATATGCATCAGAATATATTGTATGACCACGGTTTCCATAAACTTGACAGTTCTGTATTCTAAATTCTGCAGACTAGATCCAGTGTGTGTATTTTATCTTCAGATTAGCACCCCCCCAACCCTGCCCCCACCTTCATTTGCTTGGGGCATTTGCAGTTCAGAAACAAAAGACATTTACAGCTCAGAGTTTAGCTGTATCAGGGTGTAAGTGCAGGTCAGACCTGATTTATGTGGCACTTCTGATAAGCAGGGGAGGAGAGCAGGACGGGGGTTTGGGAAAGCTGGTGAACTTGGCTTGACTTATGTCTTTTGCTTTTGTAGGCAGCCAACATCCCTCTGGTGTCAGAACTTGCCATTGATGACATTCATTTTGATGACTTTTCCCTCGATGTCGATGCCATGATTACAGCTGCTCTCCGGATGTTCATGGAGCTGGGGATGGTACAGAAATTCAAAATCGACTATGAGGTAAGATATTCTGTCTTGGGTGATCCAAGCAGTTCACCTAGGATAACGTGTTAGCCACTCTGAACCACCAGTTTCCCAAATACAAAGTGGGGATGATAATCCCTGCCCTGCACACCTCATGGGATTGCTGTGAGAACCAGAGAGATGTTTGTGGAAGGCTTTTGATCATTGAGGGTTACTCAGGTATAACGTACCATTGAGATAAGGGTCCAATGGAGACCTTACAACTGCCTGACACACCCTCTCCTTTCCATTTCAGACACTGTGTAGGTGGCTTTTGACAGTGAGGAAAAACTATCGAATGGTTCTGTACCACAACTGGAGACATGCCTTCAACGTGTGTCAGCTGATGTTCGCGATGTTAACCGTAAGTGTGCTTAGTGATGGTGGAAAGACATTTCTCATTTGTAGGAACTGTCAGGCCTTCTCCTTTACGTTTGCATTTCTCTGAAAAATTACCTGTAATCATTTTACGTTGGAACTTACCTGCCTTGGTTATGAAAGTATATATGTGCCAGCAATTTCTGAGCTTGAAAGCTGTAATATCATTGACACCTTAAAGCCAGTGTAGCCTTAGAATGATTGCTTGAGCTTCTGTTCAGTATTTTTCCTTGATAAACTGGTTCTTTTACAAAAGAAATGCTTATATTTTTATAGTAATCTTTTTGCAGAGGGGAAAAAAAAGTAATCTTTTTGCAGATGAGTAATAGAACAAAGAGATCACTGGATATGACTCTCTGGGCTGGTGGAAAGCCAGTAGGGAGGGGTGAACATCACCCACAGGAATACGGAAATCCTGAGTGTATGCTTATTTGAGAGAATGCCCAGGGAGGCCAAGGGGATAAAGAAGAGGTAGGAGTGCATGCTCTCCAGGTTTAGGGCTTACTTGCCTTAAAATCTCTGCCCCGGGGGCTATGACACAGTGATGGTGGCCAGCCTGTTTCACAGAGATATCTAGCACAGCTGGGCAGAGGTAAGCCTTGTTATTTAATCTGAAAGCAAATATTTGTGGCAAAGATTGAAACCAAATCCTCTATTTACTTCTTCCTGGTAAGAAATAAGGCTTGTTTTGGCATAATTTCTACTACATTGTTAAGCTATCATCAAGTAAAATATTTTCTGGCTTAAATATATTGGTTTCTTTGTCCTTATAGTTAGATATACACACATGCATACGTACATATCTGTGAGTGTGTGTAAACATATTGCCATACCAAAAAAAAAAAAAAAGAATGTAAGTCTTGGATTCTTCCAACATAAAACAAATACTTTATATTTTTGCACCCAGACTAAAATTTAAACACAAAATCAGAGCTCCAAATGAAATGCATTTCCCTTTGGTCCAAATGAACAAAGACAATTCTGCTTCTTCCTAGAAAAAAAAAAAAAATCTCTGCCTCATTTTCTGCCTATTAAAATTGTACTCATCCTTGATGGCATTGATCTAGTGCCAGTTTTTCTACAAAGTGTTCCCCTTTCTCCCAAATCATTGATAATTACTTCTTTCCCTGTACTATATCTAGTACAACACATCTTCCTTACTACCGTGTTTTGTTTGTTGTTGTTGTTGTTTTTGAGATGGAGTCTCGCTCTGTCACCCAGGCTGGAGTGCAGTGGTGCAATCTCAGCTCACTGCAACCTCTGCCTCTTGGATTTAAGCTGATTCTCCTGCCTCAGTCTCCTGAGTAGCTGAGACTACAGGGGCATGCCACTGTGCCCAGCTAATTTTTTGCATTTTTAGTATAGACAGGGTTTCACCATGTTGTTCAGGATGTTCTCAATCCCCTGACCTTGTAATCCACCCGCCTTGGCCTCCCAAAGGGCTGGGATTACAGGCATGAGCCACCGCACCCAGCCACCACTGTGTATTTTAAGTTACAAATCTGTCATCCTCCTATAGAGTAAGCTGCTGAGGGAATAGATCATTTCTTGTTCTTTCAACATTACCTACGTATTTGGTCAGCCACCATGTGTTGAGGGTCGCACCAGGACCTTGCACTCTGTCATGTACTTGGTGGGTTTTCAAAAAATGTATGTTAAATTGACATGAGCTGAAATGTGCATAAGAAGATGGGGCTAGAATATATTTTATACTAGGGACTTGTGCTTTGGTTCCTCAACTGCTTAAGGAACAGGCAGACTGGCCTGGGAAAACTGGACTGGTCCCATTCTTCTGCTGTATTCGCCATCAGAAGAGTTAGCCAGTCAAGTGAGAAAGATGCTTTGAACCATGAGGCTTAATGGCTCAAGTGACAACCATTGCTTGGGGAAAAAAACCCTTCATTTTGTTTTCCTTTATCATACCTCAGTAAACAAGGTATAATTTTCTATGTACAGAGTTCATGAGTCTGGCCCACAGAAGCCATTCAATAAAGAACTTATTAACCCATTATTCTGGAAAACCTATGGATTTATGCTGAATTGCCAAAGTAAATAAGCAGGAACCCTGTTCAATGAGGGAAAAAGGAATGGCTGTGACATTTTTGAGTTAGAAATGTCAAGGGCAGAGACAGATTTTTATGACAAGCCCTAAAATAGTTGGAATAGGGGAAACTGGCAAGAGCAGCAGGGTCACAGTGGACACTTAGGAACAAAGGAAATATATACTCAGTTTTCTACAGTGGATATTTCCATGATATGGACAATTTGAAAATTTGTCCATATTTTCAAGAAATTGAAGAAAATAGAATTCTCAAACTGTGTCACCATAATGGAAACATTCATATTGTCAGAATACTTCCCCCGTGCAGTTGTTTTGCAAGTATGCTCGGCAGTCTTGAAGAGCACCATTGTTGGAGAAGACTTAGGGTTTGTTTTGTTTCATTTATGCTAACACAAAAAGAGGAGACCTCATTGCTAAATCTCTGTAAGGAGGGTGGGTGGAGGAGACCACAAAACAAAAACATGACTTCAGAAAGAATAAAATGTTATTTTTTTTTCTCCTTCACATTGTTTTGAGTAGCCATATCTGGAAATGATAGTATTTTCTGCTCACTAAATTTTGTTGAACTTCACTAAAGGTTACAATCTGTTAAAAGTGCCAACTTTTGTTTTTTTCTAACATAAGTATCTTCTCCAAACTTGACTTTGGTCAATGTGGTTAATCAGAATTTTTAAATTAAGAAAATAATTACAGAAGTAACAAAGACGACTTAGTCAGTGTGGCTAAAACAAACTTAATTTACTCACCAATTCTCATCTCTGGAATGCGACCTCAGCCTACGGTAAAATAATGCCCTGTTTATTTCCATGAATGGGCACTCATGCTTTGGGCACTCCTGAAAACTCTAAAAGTCTTTCAATGTTTTCATCTTATTAAATTTTATTTAATATTACATTATTATTAAACTTCCATTCCAATGATCTCATATTTCCTATCTGTGAGTTGTGTTAGAACCAACTTCTTCTCTGTTAATCTGGGGGGAAAGAAAAAGAAAATTTACCATATACCAACTACGGGATTCAGCCTGGGTCTTTTTGGGTCTAAGGTTAAGAAAGCACAGCGCTTGTGTGCTGAGGATTCCTCTAGATGGCGCTCCAAGGCAAAGTTTCCCAGCTGGTTTCCAGAAAAGGGAAAAAAAACCTTACCAACCTTGCTTGAAAGTGCTTCTTTTCCTCTAGCACAGGGGATATTGAGGTACACACCCCACCACAAAATAAATGTTTCTCTTAAAAGAGATAGCAACAAAACCAGTCTGTCGGAAAAGAGCCTCTCCTATCAGGATGGGCCTGTTTTGTGACTGCTGCCTTGCATACCGTGCTGTTAATGTGAATAATCAGTGTTCTCCGTGTGACCTTAAATCTGTGACTGTGTGTTTTTCCTAAGCCTATTGTCTCTGGGAATAGGGAGATGCATAGTTGTGTGTCACTGCTGAGCAAATTTTGGCACCACGTACAACAGGACAAGCAAGTTATAAATATATGTCCCAGCTTCCTAACCTTTAACCCTAAAATCACTTCAGTATGGAAAATAAACATATTGACTCAGCATTGTGTTTTGCGAAAGCATTCAGGTTCATGTCTAAGTAACAAAGTGGTTTTGTTCCTTTAGAAATTAAAAAATAATAATAAAAAAAAGAACCACTCTGTAGGACAGGGAAATTGCTATAAAATGATGAGCATTTTATTCACTGGGAACCCCGATAATGACTTATTAATTTGTTCCATGCCTCTGGTCTGAAATTTCACATTTATAAATTTGAAAGTTTCAATGTTATTCTTTACTTTTAAAAAGATATTTAGATAGTTAAAATTTCCCAAATACTTTGAATTCCTCTGATAAATACAGTAAGTGGTACAAGTTACTACTTGTGATTAAAATGAAGAAGAACCTGCAGATTAATGACCATTATATAAATTATCTTTACTAATAAGGGTTTATAGAATAAACATTCCATCATGCACATACATAATAAATAAATTATAACTATAAATACGTGATGAAAGATGATGGACATATTTCTCATATTCACAACGTAGACCAGATATAGGAAATGACTGTGCTTTTGTTTGTATTCTGTAAAACAAAAGGCATAGTGGTGCCAAGTTTGCAGATATTTTTTCCATTTTATAAATGATGTATGAGCTCTGACAGATTTTTCCAAGGGGGGAAAAAAAGATTTCTTTAAGAGTCAGTATTCTTTACTATCCCATAAATGTACTCATTAGCACTTTGGGCCATGCCCTGCATCCTGTAGGATATCAATAAAGATTAATTGAATGAGTGAATTTAGTTTAGGGTAATATTATTCAAGGAACCATGTTGTTCAGTGTCCAGTTAAGAAAAACTGTAAAATGATGAACAACTATCATTGCTCGAAATCTTGCTCTTTCTTCATATCACACTCAGGTTCAGCTAGGGTTCATACAGAATATTATGATCTTGCAGAATTCACTGGATATGAAAAGAGAAGAGCACATGATCACATTAAAATTTATGGTGGTGCTGGTAGCGTGGCGCTGGTGGGGAATTGCAGTTAAATAGTAATAATAACCAAGTATCACAGCAAACACATTGACACCCCCTGACATTTACTGGGGGCTTCTTAAATCTTGATGTGGAGGAAGCGTATTTAAATCCATATTTGTGTTGTCAACAAGGTTATTTTCACAGATAAGCCAAACCATTTTATTGATAATTCAAACTAGAGAGCAGAAGGGATGTTTAGGGAGAAAATCCATCCTATTCACCAGCTTGAGGCTAATGTTCTGTCCTCTGACTGCAGTTTCCAGGAAAGACCTTGATTTTTGAGGTAGAAAATTTCTTCTGGAAGGAGATTTTGGAAGCACAGCTGAAACTCCTCCCTTCCCATCCAAGAAATACAGAACCAATTGAAATTTTAAATAAAATATTTTTACTCAATAATA